TTTTCAGGTAGTACAGAAGAGCTGAGATTCATTTCTAATGAAGAAAAATTTCAAGAGGAAGGACATGTTCTGCTTCTCTAAACATAGTTCCTTTTCAAACCTTCAGTTACTCCATTTACACAATTCAACAAAAGGTTTTTATACCTGCATAATTCAACAGAAGCAATGTTTTACAAAAGACAAGTTGAACTTCCTGCAGTTTTTTAAGGTAAAATTCTCTTATGAGTAAAATTACTGTTTTTAAAATCCCACTCTCTATCCTCATCTTCACCCTCGGCACCATCAGTGAAAATGTAAAGCAGCAAGCCTGCTATAAATAAGAAGCTACACTATTTCTTAAATGACCTTAACTTTCTAAAATAGTCCCAAATATACAGAACATACATGGCCCAATTCCTTTAAGTCTCCCTTTAGATCACTGAGAAGTTACTTTTATTTTGACTACTTTACTAAGTATAAAAAAAACCTAACACAGAATTAGGAAGTTAAACTGGCTTAATCAGTTTTCCTCACTGATTACGACTCTTCTGCATACACTGGATAATGAAATCATATGCGGCTTTGGGGTCTATCCTCAATTATTCTTAGTCTATAATCAGGGAAATCCTTTACAACTAACTGAAGAGAATACAAATAGCTTTATAGCAAACTGAGCTTGTTAAATATATTTATTATAACAGATTTTCTGACAGAAAAACTGCTCACTGCACATGATCTCTGAGAAGTGATCAAACAGGACAACTGGAAAGGTGTGGAGGGAGAAGTTGTGGATCAATTAAAACCCAGCAGATAACTGCGAAAGCAGAAACTCTGTTTAGGGGCCAGAAGAATGAGAAGTCACCATTTTGAAACTAACGACATGTTCCTAAAAATTGAGGTTAAAAAATACAGTAATCACACAATATCTCCAAAAAATATTCCTTAAAAATATAAAAAGAATTATAAGAAAATAATCAGGAAAATCACCATGATTTTTCATGTGCTCAGTGACTTTTACAAAAGAGGCAAATTTGTTTCAAATAAAAAAAAAATCCCTATAAGAACAAAGATTCATTTCACAGGGATACATACTTCATTAACAGTATACAGAGTCCATAGCTTCTTAAAAATCAGGTCTGAAAGGTCAATAGAAAACACTGCCCGCGGGGAGTGTTTCACACTCCAAACTCCAACAGTCAGCTGTGTCCCCTCCCGCCGTTACAATCTGTAACAATCTTAACTGTGCAGGGACTCGAGTTTCCGTAACTTCAACGACGCGTTAGAGGAAAATGCCTCTTGGCTGAAGGCCTCTGTGGTACCTGAAGACCGGAACAGTACTCGACCGCGATGATTAAACACATAAAAGGACGGGTGATTCCGTAAGGTGTCCAGCCTCTTATTCTTCAGTTCCGAAGTGGCGTTCATGTCTTTAAACTCCCCGGCGATATGCACAATGCCGTAACACGTAACCGCGAAGGCCAGAAGCGTCTGAAGAATTATATCTGCCGGCAGCGATTCATCTTCCTTTTCTGTTAATCGCATGTAAGAGCGATGCTGCGCAGCAGAAAAGGCAGCGTGGGCCAGGGCGAAGAGGGCAAGGCCGACCAGTCCCTTCCACAGCGACGGCGCCATGACTCCAGGAGCAGCAGGATTGAGGAAAGAGAAGGGCGGCGAAAGCCTTCCTTCCTCCGGCGGCGGACTCGCTCGTTCTTTCTGGCACCGGCGGAGTCTTTCCTTCCTTCTTGCACCGGCGGAGTCCTTCGTTCCTTCTTCCACCTTTCCGAGTCAGATTCTTCTTACAACCGGGAATCGCTCCTCCAGCCACTGGTAGGAATCCTCGTGGCGATGCGGAAAGATGACGTCACGCAAATCTTGCCCGCGCAGGGCGCAGATAGATGGCGTCACGAAATCTAAGCAACAGGGCGGTGCAGAAAGATGACGTTGAGGATACCTTAGTCTGAAGCATTTTAGAGGTGCAAAAATGTGGAGCCCTGAGAAATCCGATGTAGCTACCACTGCCTGGAGATAAGCGGACGTCACACGCCATTTTTAAAAAGACATTATTTTAGTTCACTTGTCTTTGTTAATAATACATTGTTTTTATTAAATACATGTGTATTTAATATTTTATTAAATAAATATTTTATTATTTGTATTAAAATAATAAATTATTTTTATTACATTCTAAGGGCACATTTTTCACTTTTGTTTGTGGTGTTTGTAATTTAATTCCAATATCAGAGAAGCTACTTTGAATGCTTTTTTAATTTTTAATTTTATTTTTTTAAAGACAGTACAAATTAGAATTAAAACAGAAAAAAAATTACAAGTGATACAAAGCTTCGCTTAACAAAGTAATATGAATTTCACAGTATTTTTTGTCATACATAGTGTTGTCTTCCAACCAGTTATTCATATTACCATATATGTAATGTAAAATTGGAAGAAACAAAAGAAGAAAGAAATGTATAAGGAAATCTTAAGTTTATTAAGATTCTTTAACAGCCTAGTAAACGGTGTATGCTGGAGAATGTTTCATGTGAACTTTAACAAAAATTGAGTTCTGCTGCTGGGGGTGGAGAGTTCTCTAGGTGTGTGTTAGGTGCACTTCATTTACGGTGTCAGAGGTAAGATTTTTTTCCTTCTTAATCATGTCTGCGTCCTTTTATAACTTAATAAAAACCTTTCACTGGTACAGTTATTATTTATTTATTTGTATTTTTAGAGAAGGATCTACAGGGTGTCCAGGGTCTCACTACTAGATTGGACTCCTAGTGATTCTCCTGTGCTGGGATTACAGGCGCACACCACCATGCCCAGTCTCAATTGCCATCTCAGCATGCCCTGGGGGGCAGGGCCGATCTACATATTGATAACATTCATCACAGAGAACTTGTACCTGTAGATATATAAGTTGCCTCTTCTCCCCCCATTGCCCTTCCCTTACTTCAACCCCTTTCCCCCTCCTTCTTTGCCAAAGTTTTGTTTCCATTTTTGCCTTCTATTCACTTTTATTTTTCTGGTCCCTTCTTTTTCTCCTACCTTGTCCTTTGTTCCCCTTCTCCTTTGAGCATTTCCCTCCCACTTCCCAATATCTGTTACACGTTTCATCTGTATTTACACTTTCAGTTTCTCACACCAGAGAAGCAATGTGGTATTTAAACAGCTGGTTCTTCTATGCATTATCAAAAGTACCATACAGAAGTCTCCCCCTATTATTATATTGCTATCTGGTTCTTCCTTCCTTCCTTCCTTCCTTCCTTCCTTCCTTCCTTCCTTCCTTCAGTCAGTGTGTGTTTCTTGTATTTTAGAACTCTGATATTTGGTCATGTATGTTTACAAAT